ATAAAAAAATTCCAATATAGAAGCTGGCACCATTTTTACCTTTTTATTTTTTCTTTTGACTTCTTTTTTTATTTAATTCTAGTGTAGTGAACATACAGTGTTATAATTATTACCTTTTTAAGAAAAATTCCACTGCCTATGTTTAGATAATTACAAATGAAACTTTAAGAAACCTCATATATCAATGTTGCTCAAACTTAAATAATGCTCAGCTTCCTTGTAAGGGAGAAAGATTCTCATAGGTCTCTAAAGTCGGCTTATTTTGTACGATGTTGCATATATATACAATTATGTGCATATGTATGCATATATATATAAATATATGGAAACACAAAACTAAGGGAAAGACCCCTTATTATTATTATTATTTTTTAAAGATTTCACTTATTTGACAAAGAAAGACACAGTGAGAGAGGGAACACAAGCAGGGGGAGTGGGAGAGGGAGAAGCAGGCTTCCGGCTGAGCAGGGAGCCCGATGTGGGGCTCCATCCCAGGACCCTGGGGCCATGACCTGAGCCGAAGGCAGACGTTTAATGACTGAGCCACCCAGGCGCCCTGACCCCTTATTTTTTTAAAAGATTTTATTTATTTATTTGTCAGAGAGAGGGAGAGAGAGAGAGTACAAGCAGGGGGAGTGGGAGAGGGAGAAGCAGACTCCCCGCTGAGCAGGGAGCCCAATGCGGGGCTCGATCCCAGGACCCTGGGACCATGACCTGAGCCAAAGGCAGACGCCTAACCCAATGAGCCACCCAGGCACCCCCAGAGACCCCTTATTTTTACAGATTTTTGTGTATCGAACCAGAACAAATTCATAAATTAAATACAGACAAGGGGAACCTGGCGGGCTCAGTCGGCAGAGCATGCGACTCTGGATCTCCAGGTTGTGAATTCAAGCTGCATGTTGGGCTTACTTAAAAAAACCAACAAAACAAAACCCTCAAATGAGGAACCTAAAATGTATAAGGTTGACTTAATGTAAGGAATTAACATTCCTGTTGCTAAACCCAGAATGGCCCTCACAACATATTTTACCGATTTCAAGAGCACAGACGTATTTAGCCACATAACTTGTGCTGACTCAATTCTAATAACTGTTGTGTGTACAGTACACCAAAATATAGTCTGGCTATAACTTGGTGTGACCACATCATTTGTTTTTAAAGTCCCTCTCTGTTGTTGTTTTTTTTCTAAGTCTGCAACAATTCACTTAGTTCTATTTGCTAATCACATATCCAAACATAGGCAGTGAAATTGCATTCCCAGAATAACTATAAGGGGTCGATAAATTTATAAAGATATTCCACCTTACTAGTAATCCAATACAAATTAAAATGAGAGGCATTTCCTCTATCAAATTGGGAAAGCTTTATTAAAAGGATAAAATAAATGCTGATGGGTATATGTGATGGGCACCCTTGAGCTCTTCTGGTGAGAAGGAAAACTGGCCTGACCTTTCTGGAAAGCAATTTGGCGGAAGGTATTCACAGGCTGAAAAGCTTTCAAAGCCTTTGAGTTAGTAATTTCACTTAAAGGTTTCTATCCTAAGGAAATAATTTTTAAATGTGGGCAAAGATCTCTGTATAAGGATGTCAATGTTCTTGTTAGCAGGAAAAATATAGGTAACCCCCTAGATGTCCAGAAATAGAGAAATAAACTGTATTATCAACAGTTATGTAGCCATTACAAATAATATTTGTGACAACTTTTAATAACAGTGGCTAGGGCTCAAGATATAACACTGAACAAAAAAAAAACAAAAAAGTATATAGAAGTATATATTCATATAGTTCTCTTATGTCAAAAAATGTAAACGTGTAAAGAAAAAGGCTCAATGAAAAGAAGCCAAAATGATGAGTGCTGTTCCCTGAAATGTGGGTAATTTGTACTTTACTTTTTGTATTTCCTGAATTTTCCAAGCTTCATGTAATAAGCATACAATATTTTCATTTTTTAATTAATGCAAAGTCTTGTAAATGATAACATGTCAGCTTAGACTGTCTTTAAAATAATTCTTTTTTTTTTAAAAGATTTTATTTATTTATTTGAGAGAGAGAGAATGGGAGATAGAGAGCATGAGAGGGAAGAGGGTCAGAGGGAGAAGCAGACTCCCTGCTGGGCAGGGAGCCCGATGCGGGACTCGATCCCAGGACTCCAGGATCATGACCTGAGCTGAAGGCAGTCGCCCAACAAACTGAGCCACCCAGGCGCCCTAAAATAATTCTTATTGTGAGTTGTAATCACTTTCCTACAACATCCAGCAAGGGTCCTAGATTTACTTCCTAGAGTTACACAGAATATGTCTATAACTACTGTACAGATAATTTAAAAAGGTCAGTGAGCAGGGCGCCTGGGTGGCTCAGTTGGTTAAGCGACTGCCTTCGGCTCAGGTCATGATCCTGGAGTCCCGGGATCGAGTCCCACATCGGGCTCTCTGCTCAGCAGGGAGTCTGCTTCTCCCTCTGACCCTCCCCCCTCTCACGTGCTCTCTCTCTCTCATTCTCTCTCTCAAATAAATAAATAAAATCTTTAAAAAAAAAAAAGGTCAGCGAGCAGCCTTCCCCCACCTCCCATCATCATAACCCAGCCCCCCCATTTCTGCCGATTTCCTTTCTGCTTAACACTTATAACAGTTCCCTGTTAGACACAGTTTCTGATCTCACCAGCCTGCTTACTCTGTTCAGCCACGCTCCTGTTAAATAGTTTTCCTCTAAAAATATGATACTGAGAACTGAAGGCAGGTCATGGTCATGCCATTCCTCTGCTTAAGAACCTCCAGAGCCTCTTACCAGAAGAGCAGACGCCCCCAGCTTGGCGTTCAATGTCCTCCTGGATCTGGTCCCAGTCTTTCCAGCCTCACATCCTATTGTACCTTTAACACATTCTAAGCCGTGCTTTCAAACTATGGGTTGTTATGCATTAGTGAGTCATGAAATCAATTTAGCAAGCAGCATTAAAAAAAATAGAATAAAATATAAAATGGCAAGTTACATTGCATATACTGAAGGCAATTACTGACTAGGATTTACACACAAACACATACACATGCTGTGTGTGTATATGTACACATATATATGTGTGTGTGTATACATAAATATAAAATATATAAAAATTATAATATATATTATATATGTATATAAAACTATGTGTGTATATTGTTAACCTGAAAAACAAAGGTTATTTTACCAGCAAAAAATGGGTCTGTTAGGGAATAACCAAGAATTGTAGTCCCAGACAAGAAACCTATGGTAAAACTATAGGTAAGTCCAACAAACCCAAGGAACTTATTTGATGGAGAAGAAGGAGGAAGTTGGGAGGGATTATTTTGAAGGAAAGTCCATTGGTGAAAAACAGGAGTTCAGGTTTTTCACTGGCTCAGTTTCAGGGGTAGTCGATTTCTTGTAGGAAATGCAATGTACATCTTTCCCTGTTGGGTCCTATAATTGATGATTCTCTCCTGTTGAATAGTCTTCTTTTTGGGTCTCTATGTAATTGACAATTCTTCCTGTAATTGACATTGAGTAGTAGTTGGCTCCCCCTTCCAACCTCCCCTTTTAGCCTCCTGAGTCCAATTTAGTGAAGTTTCTTTTCTTTCTTTCTTTCTTTCTTTTTTTTTTTTTTTTTAAGAGAAAAAGAAAAAAAAAGAGGGGGGGGGGGGGGGGGGAGTAGGGGAAAAGAGAGAGGGAGCGAGAGAATCTTAAGCAGGCTCTCGAGTATGTGGGGCTTGATCTCATTACCCTGAGATCACTACCTGAGCAGAAATCAAGAGTCAGATGCTTAACCAACTGAACCACCCAGGCGCCCCTAGTGAAGTTTCCCTATATTACTCTCTCCGTATAGTGAGCATGTGTGTGGATATATACATACATATATATATATATATAGTCATAGCCGAAATATATTTCTTACTATAATGATCAAAAAAGTTTGAAAGCCACTGCCCATGCCACAGCCACATCAAGCAGCAGCTAGTCCTCAATCCTGATTTGCACTGTCTTTGATCCCATTGTTCCCTCAGCTAGGCATTCTCCCTGCTCTCTGTCTACCGAAATTCTTCGGGGGCCCTAATGAGATACCACCTTCTCCCTGAAGTGTTCCATCATTTTTCCTCATCTGTGATCCTAAAGTGATGGTCTCCTACCTCTCTTATACCACTCAAAACAGCCTGCCTTGCATTGTAGCTATGTCTACATACTGAGTGCTTAGACAAAGAGTGTCAGAGGGGCAGGGCTGTGTCTTACTCACTTCTGGGTCCTTTGAAGGCCCAGAAGTATAGTGAGCCTAGCTGATGTGCAATAAATATCTGCCCAACTGAGTATTTTCTAAATGGCCTTCCAGGAGCAACTTCTGTTCTTCCTCCATCCATTTTCTTGACTAAGGCCCCAGCAGGCATAAGATCTATGCCTTGGGCCTAGTGTTATCTACAGTGGTGGCTCTAAAATCCAGTCTGTCCTGAAAGCTTTCATCTTTCTTCAGGAGGGATAAGAGAAATAAACATACATTTTTATCCCTTTAAAAGATATCTCCTTTATTTGAGCATGTGTCTTTCCTATATTTTTGGTGTTAAGATGTATTTTTTGTGGATCTATGTTGATAAGTTAGAAAATAATAGTTGGTTTTTCGTGCGTATTTATTGTCCTTACTTGGCAAAATGAAAAGCTGGCAATTCTATGTTTGTCTTTAAAAAGATTAAGTAAAAATTTACTGGTTGCAAATTCCAAAATCTGGGAATCAACTGTCCTTTCTGGGCTGGCTGAAGGTAGGTTCACTTTCTTAAAGGTCAGATAAGTTCATTGACATGGGGCTGCAGGAGTTTCTCTTCCCATTTCAAAGACTGCTGTTTATTCGTCTGTGCTTCCATTCTCCTATTCCCCAAGACGTTATTCACCCATTAAATCCCGGGCGTGAGACATTGTATCTCTGGCCCTTTAAATAGGGGCGTGGTATAGAGGGGCGGAGAAGGGTGCGGGGAGGAAAGCGGAAGCGTGGCCATCAGTGGTATATACTGCGCGTGCGTGAGGGTACAGCAGGGGGCGGGGTCACGTGGGCCGGGGGTCCTGGGCTGGAATGGCCGCAAGCGCAGGTAACGAATCTCCCGGGAGCAGGCCAACGGGGTGGGGACAGTAGTGAGCCGCCGTCCCCGAGGCGGGAGGAGGACGCACGCCGGGTTCCTGAGCCTCGGCCCTTTCCCCCGTGCGGCGGCGCGGCCTCGGAGTGGCTGACAGAGCAGCCCCAGGCGGACTAACTGGACTGGGGCCCAAGGGCCGGGTGGGGTTGACTTTGGGGCGGAGAGGCGTGTCCTGCGTTTGGCCTGCTGTTGGGTCAGGAGATTTCCACTTGTTCATAACGAATGTGGGGCTGAGGACAGGTGCACCCGCTTCCCTGATTGTGAGACTAGGAGGTGGATGATCACTCTCCTCCTCAGGACCGAACAGGTGTGCAACCCGCCTTTCGGGCCCGGCGCACAAGTGTGGCCTCGTCTGTCCCTCAAAGACTGGGATGAGTGTGCTCCCCAAGTGTGAGGCCGAGGCCTAGATCAGGTGTCCACCTCTTAGGATTGGTGCGCACCCTGTGAGGCTGGTTCCAGTTTGTCTCTGCCTGCAAGGTGAGCTCCAGAGTGAGAGCAGGAGGAGGGACAGGTGGGTCTCTAAAGTTTGAGGCCACTCTTGTGTCCTGGTTAGTTCTCCAAGTGTGGTGCCTGGGAAAAGAGGGAAACAGAGCTGCCCAAAGTGTTTGGGTTTGCTTCAAAGGGAGGTTAGGGTGGGATGAAGTAGGGTCAGCCAGGGAGGTTCCATGGCTATGGGTTATCAGGATCAGGTGGGAGCCTCCATAATCTCCTAACATTAGACTCATATAGAATGGACCAGAAGGCCTTGCGTCCTCTGCATGCCCACCCTCTACCACACAACCCCCCCAAAAAGAAAACACACAAACAAAACAATCATGGGTGTTGACTTGTGGCACCAACTCCGGATGTCTGTGATTGGGAGGTAATTACATGTCACGTGTGTGGCACCAACTCCGGATGTCTGTGATTGGGAGGTAATTATATGTCAGGTGTGTGTGTTTGAAGTCTAATACAAATGGGGATGGAGAATCTACCTATGTTTGTGTAAGACATGGGTTTGTTCATGGTTAAATTTAAGCAGGGAATAGATACTGAATCCTCTGGTAGAGCTGGCCTGTTCCATTGAAAACAGAGTAAAGATAAGTGGGGGAAAAATTCTGGTTGAACTATGGGCTTTATATGTCAAAGAGACATGTGAAAAAATTCTTTCCAGAGCTCTAAGATAATAGTGTGTTGATTATCCTTTATTTTCTTTGTATCTGGACCAGCATCAGCGGTTGGATGTTTTTTGTCTTCAGGATATTGAGGCATCGTGGCACTTCTTAGCTGTATCTCACTCTTTAATAAAGATGTCAACCGTTGTGATACAAAGTGTCAGTTATGTATGTGAACGAAAAGTGAGACGTTTTGAACTTAAAGATGTTTAACTTTCGATCTGTTTATAGTTGTCACAGAGATTAGATTGCCTCTTGAGCCACAGCTTCAGGTGAAATCTGTATATATTTGTCAGATCAAACTGTTCTAGTCTTAACTGAATCTTGAATTTATGTTTGAATTGTCTTCATTCTATTAGCCCCTGTGTTAACATCTTCCCAGAATAAAGAGAAAACTCCTCTACCTTCAGTAGTTACAAATTCCAGGGAAGGACAGTGATTGGCCAAATGGATACAAGAATGTCATGTGCCTACTTCTCTGGCTAGGTAGATAGGATATTTGATTGGCAGCACAACTAAAATTACTTGTTTGGAGTGGAGAGGAGCAGTTTTCCAAAGGAAAGGTGGTGAAGGGATGTTTTAACTGTAATCTAATTTGTTTTTCCTCTGCAGTTGAGCAAGAAGTTTCCTTTTGCTCTTTACAAAAAAAAAAAAAAACTCTTGTGACTATGTCCTTCTTGACACCTAACCAAGAGAAATTGAGGTGACAATTTAATTAATTGGAAGTTAATTAAGATGAGTTGGAAAGCCACCATGTACTCAACCTACAACTGAATGGAATCCTGTCTTGTGTGCATTTAACTTATAAGAATTCACTCATACCAATTTAGTGAAGAAGAAAGGAGAATATATGTCAGCCTACACAAGGCCCATGTGCTTCTTAGAAGTTTTCTGGGGGGGGGGTGGATATTTGAAGAGTGATTTTTAAAAAAATTTTTTTAATTTTAATTTTTTTTAAAGATTTTTTTTATTTATTTGACAGAGACACAGAGAGGGAACACAAGCGGGGGGAGCAGGAGAGGGAGAAGCAGGCTTCCGGCGGAGCAGGGAGCCCGATGTGGGGCTCAATCCCAGGATCCTGAGATCATGACCTGAGCCCAAGGCAGACGCTCAACCGACTGAGCCACCCAGGCGCCCCTGAAGAGTGATTCTTATAATAGTAGGGACTTACTGGAAGCTGGAAAGAAGTGATTTTTTTCCCTCTTTCATTCATTTTACTTATACACGTATAAAACTGATGAATGATATTAGGCTTTATGCATAACATATTCGTAGACATAGTTCTTACTATTTTGTATATTGTCATAGGGGATTAGTTTTTTCTTTTTTAGAATGTGGCTGAAGGTTATGCCTGACAATTCATAATAATAACTTAGTAACATGATAGTAACTTAGCATCATACGACCAGACCGGCAGGTCTTAGGTACTCTTCTTTTTCTCCACTTTTCTTTTTAACATTTGTTTTAACATTTGTTTTTCTATATGCACTTCCTAAATTTTAAATGATTACTCTTCTCATTTAGACATTTACTAAGAGAAAGAGAGACAGAGGGTTGGGCTTTTTCATAGTGGCAGCTCTGAGCATTGTGGGTCTAAATGTGCCTATTCTTGGAAAGAAACTCAGGGGCCAAGTGTGCATCTCATCCAAGTACGTAGCAGCATTGTTACCTACACGGAGTCTGTTTCTGAAGTGCATGAGTAAGGTGAAACTTGAGTACCCCTGAAAAGTACCTGGGAAGGAGTCACGGCGGAGACTGACATATCTTTCAGGATGTGCAACACACCCAGGTTTTGCTCTGTGTTGGAACAGCATACTATTTGTTATTTTGAGCACATGTGAAATGGATCATTATGTATGAGGCATTCAAGAACTGAGACTGACCAAAAGGACAACAGATACCAATCTCCTATCCCGTGCTCACCTGAAATGTATAGTATTGAGTGGAATGGTGTGCAGAGTCCCCATTTCTGTGTGAATCATTTCTTTTTTTCTCTTTACCTTTGCTGAAGATAGATTGAATTCCTGTAAATGGAATGGACATATGATACATTTCCACTGTTTTCATCTTGACTTTGTAGGCTGAATTAATGTAAAAGAACATAAAACATCTGAAATTGTGGAGTTTGTGTCATGTTATACATGAACTGAATGATCATTAAAAAAATCAGTGTTGGGGCGCCTGGGTGGCTCAGTTGGTTAAGCGACTGCCTTCGGCTCAGGTCATGATCCCGGAGTCCCGGGATCGAGTCCCACGTTGGGCTCCCTGCTCAGCAGGGAGTCTGCTTCTCCCTCTGACCCTCTTCCCTCTCGTGCTCTCTATCTCTCATTCTCTCTCAAATAAATAAATAAAATCTTTAAAAAAAAATCAGTGTTAAGGATTGTAAAAAAATCGGGGCGCCTGGGTGGCTCAGTCGTTAAGCGTCTGCCTTTGGCTCAGGTCATGATCCCAGGGTCCTGGGATCGAGCCCCGCATTGGGCTCTCTGCTCGGCGGGGAGCCTGCTTCTCCCTCTCCCACTCCCCCTGCTTGTGTTCCCTCTCTCGCTGTGTATCTCTCTGTCAAATAAATAAAATCTTTAAAAAAAAAAAGATTGTAAAAAATTTCATCTAGGTGCAAAGAATGGAACTTGCAAAGTGGTAGGCTTTTGGGGGTAGAATGACTAACCCTATCTTATTTTGAATGATCAGAACTGTTATTTGAAGCCCTCGAAGCCAGTGATTGAGTGTTGCTTGGCTGCTTATGCGGGGGAGGAAGGTAGGGATTGGTGAGTTGATTAGCACTAGGAATACAGTGGTGAACAAGGCAGATCTGGTCTTTGCTCTCCTGGAACCTGTATTTCCTTCCTGAGGGAAGGCAGTGGTGGTTCAGACACTGAAAAAATGATTGCAGTGTGACAAGTTTAGTGAAGAAGGAGAACGATGTTATAAGTGCATATTAACAGGGAACCTAGTTCAGTTGAGCAGGACAAAAAAAAGGCTTTTTGAGGAAGCAGAGTTTTAGCTGATATTTGAGGGATGAATATGATCAACAGTAGTTGACAAGTCTGATAACGTAAAGGTATAGCTTAATTATAACTTGGCTTATATGGCATAGATTCCTATAGGCTGTAAGTCAAATAATATCCTATGAAGCTTAACAATTATAGGTAATAAAACTGATCCATTTAATTTGCAACACAGGTATTAGTCCTGTCTTCCAATTCTTGTGTTAATCAGTAAATATTTATTGAATGTTATATACCTATGCAAGTCAGTGAGCCCAGTGATGTGCAGTATACAGAGAAGCATGGCTGCATTTCTTTCTTTCTTTCTTTCTTTTTTTTTTTTTTAAAGATTCTATTCATTTATTTGAGAGGGTGAGAGAGAGAGGACATGAGCAGGGTAAGGGGCAGAGGGAGAAGCAGACTACCTACCAAGCAAGGAAGCCTGACACGGGGCTTGATCTCCCCAGGACTCCAGGACCATGACCCAAAGCAAAGGCAGACGCACAACCAACTGAGCCACCCAGGTGCCCCACATGGCTGCATTTCTGTTGTATAGTTGGGGACAAAAGACATAGCCACATGGTGAGTTAACTAATGAATCAGTATGAGGAAAGCGCCAAGGCACTGTTACAATGAAGACATGCATTCTAGATTCAGAGGATGCTTAGGGAAGGAAGGTGCCTGCAAGGAAGGAAAGAAGGAACTTAGATAAATGGAGAGGAAAAGGGAAGGGAAGGTGAACAAGCATGAGCAGACATGGATAGAAAGGGGAAGCTCTTCTTGAAGGACTCAATACAGGTTAATACGTTTAGTTGTA